GTTCGTTTGTTCGTTTGTTCGTTTGTTCGTTTGTTCGTTTGTTCTTGCTTTTCATTTGTTCTTTCTTTTCTTTTCATTTCTTTTGTTCTCCCTTCTCTTCTCCTAGCTTGTTATCTCTATCTATCCATTCTTCCACCCATCCGTCTCTCATTCATTCTCCATTCATTCATCTATTCCTTTCTTCTCATATCCTTTATCTTTTCTTTCCCTTCTTCCCTCTCTCTTTACTCTTCTCTCTTGCCTTACGAAAAGATAAATAGAAATTGTCCATTTTGTATCTGCAATATTTTACAACCTCAAGTCCAATTATCATTGTCGAACTAAGCCACAAGTTGACGCCATATCATATTATAGATAAACAAACACAGTCAACCAGATACTCTTTTGTACTTGCTTGTGAGACCGCAGTTGATAATCAGCGGTTATTTGAGTAAATATGAACTCAAATCAATCATGTTGATCGTGACAACCCGAAATGAGTGTTTGATCTCAATTTTATTTCACATAAATAAAAAATTGACGTATACCGTTTTTTCCCCTGACAGGCTCAAAAATACCACCCAAGTTGTATTCACACTAATTGTTGTTGTTTTTGAAATGGTTTATTTAAAAAGAAAAATTGAAAAGATATTGGGCTATGACCCCAACCCTCCCCCCTTAAATCCTTTGCCCATGCTAAGTATGTTTATCACTTGTCTTTATTCTATAGTCACTAACTAATTATTTTTCGGCGCCATTGTTTCATGCTTTTTTRAAATATGTTTTTCTCTTTCCTTTTCGATAACAGCCCGACATGAGACAGGACTCTACTTCATGGAGATATGTTAGTATCCCATTGATTCATATACGAGAATAAGTACTTTTGATTCCTATAGCAAACAACTCGAGTTGAACTGTCTGAGATTGCTTTTATTTTAAAATTATTCTATTTAGATCGGTCAGATTAGTTTAAGAGGTGCACGTATGCTTTTTGATATTTGATACAGTCTCAATGGTTGAATTGTCTTACCAATTGAATTGCCAATTGAATTACCACTGAATGTCTTTCCTTTCCTTTCCTTTGCTTTCCTTT